GAAGAGTCAAGGCTGACTGTGGCTTTTGGATTGAGCAGCTGATGGATGACAGACCATGATCTGGAGGAGAAGACATGACGAGGTGGAATGTTCTGAGGCTTGAGTACACTGAATTTGCAATGCTTATGAGATTGTGAATAGGTTCATGTAGTAAACAGCCGGGTATGTACAGTTCTCTTTCCTGTACAGAACTTGGCTCAGCCTGTAATCCCGCGACTTTGGGAGGCTGAGGTAAGTGGATTGCCTGAGCCCGCGGGTTTGAGACCTGCCTGGGCAACTTGGCGAGACCTCATCTCTACAAAAAATCAAAAATAAGCCGAGCGTGGTAGCGTGCACCTGTAGTTCCAGCTACTTGGAAGGCTGAGGCGGAAGGATCGCCGGAGCCCAGCAGGTCGAGGCTGCAGTGGCCGGGAGCGGCCACTGCACTCCAGTCTGGGCGACAGAGTGAGACTCCAACTCAAAAAAAAAAGAAAAAAGGAAATACCACCTAACACCCAACAGGATGGTTACTATCAGAAAACAAAGAGAATAATAAGTGTTGGTGATATGTAGAGAAACTAGAATCCCTGTGCAATGTTGGTGAGAACGTAAAATGGTGCAGCTTCTAAACTAAAAGCAAAATCCTAAGTCTCCCTACCAACTGAATGAACCCCCTCTTGGCCAAGAAAACCCCAGAAAAACCTGAAAAACTGAATTCCTGACCATGATGGGAAAGGAGGTGGGACATGCCTCATTATACCCTCTTCCTTTTGGAGTTTAGGCACAACTGACCTGCATTAAAGTTAAAATAGAGATCACAAGACTGACAAAACTGACTCTTTGTGGCAATAAGATCTCAAATTACAAACAAGCTGTAAGGCCATGAAAGGCAGGGTTAAGTCATGCCTTCAGGGCATCAATCTTGCCAAACAGTCATATTGTGGCTGACTCTGACACAGTATCCAAATGTTTTAACTTACAACATTCCTTTCTGCTGACTCCAAGTTGCAGACAAAATTTTGTTCCTTTAACCAACTGCTTAAAAAGTCTCTGAATCCACCAATAGCCCCCATTTCAAGCTATCCTGCCTTTTCGGGCCAAACCAATGTACATCTTCCATGTACTGATTTATGCCTTTGCCTGTAACTCCTACCTCCCTGAAAAGTTAAACCAAACTGTAACCTGACAGCCTTGGGTGCATTTTCTCAGGAATTCTTGAGACTGGCTTTCTCCTGTAGTCACTCATATTGGCTCAGAATAAACCTCTTTAAGGTATTTTACAGTGTTTAGTTTTTCTGCTAACAAGCAGCTATGAAAAACAGTATGGCAGGTCCTCAAAAAATTAAAAATAGAATTACCCTATGATCTAGCAATTCGGCTTCTGGGTACATATCCAAAAGAAGTGAAAGCGGGCTATCAAAGAGATATCTGTGCACCCATGTTCACAGAAGCATTATTCGTAAACAACCAAATGATGGAAGGGAACCAAATGTACATTGATGGAAAAATGGGTAAACAAATATGATACATCCATACAATGAAATACTATTCAGCCTTATAAAGAAAGAAAATTATGACACATGCTATAATATGGATGAACCCTGAAGACATCACGCTAAGTAAAATAAGTTAGTCAGAAAAAGACAAATATTTTATAATTCTATTTATATGAGGTAGGTAGAGTCAAATTCATAGAAAAAGATAGTAGAATGGTGGTTGTCAAGGACTGGGGGGGAAGGGGGAAACACCTTAGTAGTTGTTTAATATGACTAAGTTTCAGTGTTGCAAGATAAAGTTGCAAGATAAAGGTTTGCAGACTGGTTGTACAGCAATGATTACTTAACACTACTGAATTGTACACTTACAAGTTGCTAAGATGATAAATTTTATGTTACGTGCATTTTTACCACAATTAAAAGAAAAGATATTTAAATAATTAATGCCTGAATTTAATTACAAATTTCCCCAATCTCTCTGATGAGCTGGGTAAAGTTAGGACATAAGATCTTTGTTTATTACCACCTCCATTAAGTGTCAACTCCCTCCCCGACATGCCCCTGCTACATTCTGCTAAGAATTTTATCGTCCACTATAGCTGACCCAGAATTAAACTGATCTAAAGATTTCAAGGAAATGAAAACAAATAGAAAGGAGGGTCTACCTGTGCACACTCTCTTAAAGACTTTTAAGCTTTTAAAATTATTAATTAACTATAATTTAGTTAAAATGTACTGGCATACATGTTATCACTGGCATAACAAACAAAATTAGAGTGTGACAGGGTTCAGAACATGCTGTCCCAAAATATGACTGTAGGAGGCCAGAATAAGACATCCTCAAATATGTCTACTTAACGCAAGGATAATTTTGAACTGGCTCTTTTGAGAAACCGCAAACACAGGATAAACTCTGAAAAGTTACCCTTTGTAAGAGAAATTTATACCTATAAAAGAAATCTTGCCGGGCTCGGTGGCTCAGCCTGTAGTCCCGCACTTTGGGAGGCTGAGGTGAGTGGAATGCCTGAGCCCGTGGGTTCAAGACCCACCTGGGCAACTTGGCAAGCCCTCATCTCTACAATAAATCAAAAAAATTAGCTGGGCGTGGTAGCGCACACCTGTAGTTACAGCTACTTGGAAGGCTGAGACGGAAGGATCGCCAGAGCCTAGCAGGTCGAGGCTGCGGTGGCCAG